AATAACGAACAGCATTTTCACACGATGTTAGTATGCATAGATTAAAGTGACTCGACCTCAGGGAGTTTCATTCCATGTTGAGAAATATTGTGGGGAGTATACTAAACCGATACAAGACTTTTAGGCTCTACTTTAACCAAGATACCGAAATTGCGGGCTATGCTAAAGTTCGCCTTTGGGTCTCGCGTAATGATCATGATGACCTTGACGTCGCTGTCCATATCCGCAAGATCTCGCGGAATGGCAAGCCACTGGACCATCTGAAATATCCATGTCCTGTGCCTACCGAAGAGGTTCCCAGCTTCAGTACCTCTAAGTGCCTGGGTCCGCAAGGTTTCGTGCGTGCTTCGCACACAGTCACCAAGGTCGAGGAGCTTTCCACTGACCAAGAGATTTTCTACCAACACGGTCGACGTGAGCCAGTCAAGCCTGGGTCGATTACATAATTGAAGATCACACTTTGGCCAATGGGAATCGTGTTTGAGGCTGGTGAAGGTATCATGTTGCGAACAGGTGGTCATGATATGATCTATCCGGAGACTGATAAAATTGTCCAAGCTCCTTAGAAGACAATGAGAACATGGGAATGCACGAGATCATGCAGAAGGAGATTATAACTCGTCACTGGTTCTACCATTCATTTGAATGGGTAATACTGTAGACGCAACAAGACAACCCACCACTTAGATTCAAGGCATTTCTGTCCTGTTTGGTCAGTTTGTTTCGATCACGTGATGAAGGTAGCTCAATTTCTGTGAACAAGTCAAACACGATTCCCTTTATTTTGCACAATACACAACTTGTCCGTGTCATTTCGTGGCTGTTGTAACACGGTCGTTGCTTGTTTGGCGAAAATAGCAGCCTTGATGGTGGTGCATTGGCAATGACTCGGGACTGCCCCTGTGCGCCTGCGCCTGCCCCATCACGTCCACTTCCTTTGCGCGGACATTCAGGAACCCTCGAGTCAATATAGGAGCAGACTAAGCCCTGAAATGAAAGAGCGTAAAGAAGACTTTGATAAATACTCCTGCTCTGCTCGTGAACGCTTTACGACCACTTAAGAACCATTCTTCCAAAGTCAAAGCTCTGAAGCCAACACTACAACCTCATCCGCATTGTGCTCGCACTTGCGTTTCCTTAAGGACTGGCGGCAACGTCTGTGCTCATCATGTGCTCCCAATAGGACATATACCATCACTTTGAGTCAAACCAACAACTTCAGGTTAATACAGGCATCCACCGTGCTCAATTAGAGAATTTTGTAGAATGGAATCCTTCATACTAAGACAGTCTTCGATTACTGGATCGAAGCAGTTTTCAGAGTAAATCTTCCGAGACGTAGGGCTTGTATAAAGTAGCAGCAGTGATAGTTAGCTGGAGAGGAAAAGATCGAGAGGTTACTAGTACTTTATAGTATACGGCCGAAAATGAGATAACGGTAATAGGAGATATTAGCTAGACTTATACAGGTAGAACGCGCTAGGATATATAAAGGCCGACTAGATTAAGCACGGTATACGATGTAGGTATTGCTAGGAGCTCGTAGGACACCTCGATACCCTAGCCCCTGAAACAAATTCTGCCCTACCGCATTTCCCTTCTAGTTACGGACGCTTACTGTTGTCTCCAAGTTCTCTGCGGTTCCTTTCGCACGACTGGGAATCTGGCCTGTGATCAGCTCTCCTAAGAACATATTTTATGTCTCGCTCCACGAATGCATTCTGAGCTGCAGGATATAGGGTCGTTCTGGTTATCCCTGCTCCTCTTTCCTCGTGTTAAATCGAATGGTATCGTAAGCCCGGATCCACAATGGCAAGGCAGACTCGTCTTGAAAGTGCGGTGAGGTGGACAGTAGAGAGGGTTCATTGTACAGCACTCGATGGGAGTTATACTCAGGCGGTCGCCCTGAGCATGTTGCTGACTTGGTTGTTGCCAGGAGCACCTCGACATCGTGAGGGCGGGCACCAATATTGGACGAAGATACTTAATCGCATCTATCCGGTCGAGATGGTGGCCCAAGGCAAAAAGTCCTGTGGCAGAGAATCACCAGCGTATATGCCTTGCAATGTATGGCCCCCGCAACTTCCCTTAAAGATTTTCCACCTCCGTCTTTAAGGGTTGTCCAAAGGATGCGGATACGTGCCAGAAACTAAACTATCCAGGTCAGCTGCTATCGGGCTGCACGCAGACGAGCTCTCGCTAAAAGGCCAGGATTAACTTCTAGGACTGAAATATACGTAGGACTACAGCGCAAGGAGGGTATGATGCACTTTCGCGATTAGCAGTATTGACGCCAGCTATATTTGTAATGTAACGTCGAGCCCGCTGAGCGATGGTATAGCTCTTAGGAATGTCCGGTAGCCTTTCGGCGTGGACCAATTTGGCAGATGGCCACGTTAGTCATGATATTCAGGAGCCGTCTCTCGCCCTAGAGACATCTAAGTAGCGTGTCGAGGATCTAGAATGGATATGTTAATAGCCGAATTTAAGAGAGAGGCACTGCAAAGATCGGGACCAGGCCCGTAGTGTCAATGATTCGGCATTGATATGACATTCTGTGATTGGCGCCCCGTAGAGGAGGTGCTATATGCTTGTAAAGACCGGAAATTCAATGGATGCCTGAACCGAGAATCTCATCCGTGCATTAGGAAGGCAGAAGAGAGGTCTTGGATAGCCGTGGGTGAAGCGGCGAGGCGGCGCCTTCCCTGATCGGGCGGCACTAGGGCAGTGTCGGTTCCATTATCGATAACGATAAGAAGCGGGCACGCGATTCCGAAGCTTGAAGAAATTTGTAAACAGTTCCGAGAAGACTGCAGTCTTCTCTAAACGACGTACACCTCTTTGTAGACTATTTGGCCCCGTCTTGGACCACCTGGAGCCATATATCGAAACCTTCGGAAGGTTGAACCCCTGAGACAACGTGCTCTCTCTGTTGACAGTTGCACATTGTGAGTGGTAGTGTTGCATCTCTGAAGTCTCCCAAGATCTGCTTTGCTGTGCGCTTCCCATGTTTTCAGTTTGGTAGGAGTGTGTCAAGACCTAGGCCCATAGTCCAACATGGACTTAGAGCCTCATTCGAATGGTGTGCAGACGCCGACTACACCTAAACGCGTATCGACGCTGGCACTGACGGAATACGCTGCCAATCCCACTCCGAACCGGACACCCCCTACAGAACGAACTCGCATACCTCTCTACGATCTCCCGCAGGACTTCATCTTACCCAATGGCTACCCTGACTACCTCCGTCTCATCCTTACCTCCCGAGTCTACGATGTCATTAGTGAGAGTCCTCTGTCGCATGCGATCAACCTCTCGAACCGACTCGAGTGCAAAGTCCTGCTGAAGCGGGAAGATCTGCTGCCAGTCTTCTCGTTCAAATTAAGAGGAGCATACAACAAGATGGCCCATCTGACGCCGCAGCAAAGGTGGAAAGGAGTCATTGCCTGCTCAGCCGGAAACCATGCTCAAGGCGTGGCTTACTCTGCAAGGCACTTGAAGATACCAGCGACAATCGTCATGCCCTCAGGAACACCTGCAATCAAGCATAAAAACGTCAGCCGCATGGGTGGCAGTGTCGTGCTACATGGCCCGGACTTTGATTCGGCCAAGGAGCACTGTCATGGATTGGAGAAACAACATGGTCTCACGAACATACCTCCATTCGATGACCCATATGTTATTGCAGGCCAAGGCACGATAGGGATGGAGCTGTTGAGACAAGCTTCCATACAAAATCTGGAGGTCATCTTTTGCTGCGTCGGTGGAGGTGGTCTAATTGCTGGCATTGGCATGTACGTGAAGCGAATAGCACCCCATGTCAAGATTATCGGCGTAGAAGCCAACGATGCCAACGCTATGGTCCAGTCGCTTCAACTTGGGAGGCGCGTCTTCCTCAAGGAAGTTGGCCTCTTTGCAGATGGCGCAGCTGTCAAAACAGTCGGCGAAGAAACCTTTCGCATATGTCAAGAAGTAGTCGACGATGTGGTTCTGGTCACAACTGACGAGATCTGCGCCGCAATCAAAGACACCTTTGAAGACACCCGTTCCATCCTTGAACCTGCTGGCGCTCTTTCCTTAGCAGGCCTGAAGAAATGGGTCGGTCTGAACCCGTCTGAGAACCCTAATCGAGAACTCGTCGCCGTCACGAGCGGCGCAAACATGAATTTTGACCGTCTACGATTCGTCGCTGAACGTGCCTCTCTTGGTGAACAGAAGGAGGCTCTGCTTACAGTCACAATACCGGAGAGACCAGGCTCGTTCGCCACTCTCGTTGAGTCCGTCTTGCCAGCCGCAGTCACTGAGTTTTCCTACCGATACTCGACAACCAGTTCGGGTCAAGCCCATTTACTCATGGGTATTACACTGACGTCTGCCGCTGCACGCACCGCTGAACTCGAATCGCTCTTCACTCGTCTCTCCGCAGCAGGCATGTCAGCCAAGGACGTCTCGGATGACGAACTCGCAAAGACACATATCCGTTACCTCAGCGGCGGGAAATCAAGCGTACAGAATGAGAGACTGTATACCTTCGAATTTCCCGAACGACCGGGTGCCTTGTTCAACTTTTTGCGAACAATGAGACCTGGCCAGAACATTTCGCTCTTCCATTATAGGAATTATGGAGGCGATGTTGGCCGGATACTCGCAGGGATACAGTGTCCAGAGGAGAAGAAGAGCGAACTGCATGCCTTCTTGAGAGACATAGGCTATCCGTGGACCGAGTGTACGGAGAATGAAACGTGTAAGACCTTCTTAAGAGAATAGTAGTTACCTCAAAGGCAGCAAACGTACGGAGTCTAAAAGCCGTCAGCATTTTGTATGTAGATACCCTCATGAACATCCAATGACCACTCACGAGATCAAGAACCTCTTTCAGCTACTCTTTGCTCGCACACTGCTGCCCACTTTACTGTCACATCCCGCTCTTTCCCCTCACCACCACCAAAAACTCTTCACTTCGACTCTGACTCACTTGGAGCAAAAGTCAAAAAGAAAAGTAGTCCCAGAGGGGATTGAACCCTCGACCTTCTCCGTATACATACTAAGTAAGGATTACTTGTAAAGGAGACGTGATAGCCACTACACCATGGAACTGCGGACACCAGTAACCGGGAAGGCTGGATGAATCTGTGTGCACAATCAAAGGCAAACAATTGGTTCAAAAATATATGACCTTGACAAAAACATGCACGTAACGCTTATCTCCGCCCTAAACTTTCATCAAAATATACATGCTCCTTGGCATGTTACTGCTGTTCACATGTTGGATCGAAAACTTGACACACGAAGCCAACTGGGCTGTCTTTCAAACTTCTATTGTATGTATACATTTCAGCTGCGGCCAATAACCAGTCTAATGACCTCCATGCCGACACCAACAACCAAGACTTTAATCACGCGAACTCCAATCGTTGATATGCTCTCGTCTTCTCCTTCTCCTGTGCCTGAACCGTCGTCACCAGTCAGAGCTCGAGCACGATCTCGCTCCCATCCGGGCAGAATGGCGATTCCGCTGATGTCCGCCACGTTCGTGTATGTGTCTTCTAGCAGATCGATTTGGACAGCATTCATTGGTCCCCTCTCCTTGTCTGGGTTATCATGCAGATACGCCTCGACGTCGATTGTGACAGTCCACGTTTTGAGGCGTTGGTCGTTGCCGGCTGTGACTATGGCGTATTTTTTCTGGTTGGAATCCTTTGAGTCTAATTCGATTGTGGCTAGAGCGGTAAGAGCTGCGGCGTGTGCTTTGGGGATCATGAGGGTGTTGAATCTGGTTGGTGGGTCTGCGGTGGGTTGGTAGAGGGTCATTGCTAGAGCGCTGTCGTCTCCGCCTGTGATGAGCATTTGGAGGAGATGAGCGATTGATATGGTCTGTATGGCTGTGATGCTGTTTTGGTGGATTTTGTGCATTGCTGGTGGCATGTTTGGTGCTTCGAATTTGTCAGTGGCGTTGGTGTGGTTGACGTGGTATACATTGACAAAGCCGTTAGTGCCAGAAACCATCGCTGCGTTAGGACTTGAGTTTGTCATAGCCATGAGATGAGCTTGAGTTAGGCATATCGTGCCCAAATCGAGTTGGTTGAGGACTGTGAAGCAGTCTGCGTCGGTGCCGCCTGTGCTTGGGGCGAAGCTAATTGTCTTGACTTTGCCGTTCGAGAACGCTGCTACGATAAGGTAGCCCGAGTCTTCAGTGTCCTTGATGAGACGGCAAATGTCGAAGCTCATAATTCTTGCGTCCGATTCTGTATCGTGTCTCGGCAGAGCCCCGACGAAGACAACTCCTTGTCCCAAGACAGGTACAGGTGATAGTTTCCACGCGTACATCTCTTCCATCCCTGCCGCGCTAAACAACATCTTGCCATCAGATGAGAACTTCAAGTCTTGTAGACCAGTTGTATGTCTCCTAATCACAGCTATACATTTCATTTTCTGGCCCATACTACCGTTTACAGCTGACTCGAACAGCCGGATGTCGGTATCCTCAGATCCAGTTGCAATTAACAGCTCTGATGTGCTCGTAGCATGGACCCCAAGAGCCTTGATCTCCCGCCCATGCCCACCAGACTCGATTATCTGGTGATCCGAACGTGGCTGTTCGTGTAGCATCGTTGTCCCTGCCTTAGTCCACACGAATGTGCCGCCCTCGCTGGTCTGTTCATCAAGGGCGAAAGCCCAGCTTCGATGAGCACCGCCACACTCTACGGCCATGACCTGCGATAGGTTCATTTCATTCCAAACAATGAACTGGGTAGAGCGGAAGCCGTGGAGCAGAAGTTTTTTGCTGCCGTCTGGTTCGTGAACAAGGTGAGATCCTTCAATGTTCGGACCTAGGGGCGGTGTGGCTTTGTGAACGATATTGATCCGTGCGGAAGGAGGGTTGAGATGATGAGAAAGCAATTGGACGCTGATGACGCAGTATGTGCCATCTCGACCGGTCGTGAGGTAAAAGAGGTTATCTCCTGCACTTTCGGGCTCATCACCAAGTCTGCGAAAGCTAGTGACTGTGTCTGAGCCGTGTACATGCCGCATGCAGCAGGCAGGCGCGAGATTGGTTGTGGAAGACGAAACGCTGGTGTAAACTGCCACAGCACCAGCACGAGATCCAACTAGTAGTATCCTGGTATGCGAGTCGTAATGAGTGCTTGAGACCTCGAACGTGTTCGGAAGAGAGACTGAACTCTTGGACACCATGGTACAACTATTACCGTTGAGCTCTGTCCATACGAGATCAAGCTCAATACTGCTGAAATAACATATCGCAAGGCAAACACTAGTATATTTGCTTGCTGCATGCTGTCCGAACCAGGCGGTTTCCACTAACGAGACTTTCGCTTGGCGAGTGCTGCAGAGGTTGATGGCTTGTGTGGTGATGTTGTTGTATGCTACCAAATAGTTCTCCGAATTGTTGACCAGGAATACAAAACCAAAGACCGTTTGGGTTGATAGTACAAAAGGCACAGTATTTGAATTAGTCAAAAGCAACTGCCAACTAATCCTCCTACCGTGCAGAAAACCCTTTATTAAATGTCCAGAATCTGTCGTAGCAAGTATTTGGCCTGACCCCAGCACAAGATATGACTTCAAGGCATATGATCTCTGCCTCGAGTGTCCCATGGGTAGATTATCCGGGGTAGACCAAAAAATGTCTTTGAACGCCTGCGAGGTTTGCCTGATGGACGTATCTGCCCTGCCAGCCGTACAATATGATCTGGCCACTATTTGTCCATCTGCGCCGCCGGTATATAGCTTCGCATAGTCTCCATGAACAACATGACAACGAGACCAGATGTTCTTGCCCGTGTGATGAGCGTCGATACATCTATTCTGTAGTGGCCTTTGCGAAGTCGATCGATCTCCAAACAAATCGTCAAGCTGTAATGACCACGATTGCGCTGTGGCGTCCTCGCCTGTCGATATCAGATGCAGAACTGGTTGGTCCAAGACAGACACTCTGCTTGTGACAAAGTCGACACTCCATATCCTCGACGCATGAGCCCATGTTACTGCCAAGTTGGTGGTAGACATAGGCAAACCCTTTGCCTCCACGCTGGCATTCGTATCAGCGGATGCACGTAAATCTTTCATTTCGAGATCAGCATCTGAGGCGTCCCAGATGTGAATGGTCCGGTCATCGCTGCAGCTGGCCACAATTCTCCGTGACCTTCGATCATGTTGAATGTCTGCAGAAAGACTGACACCAAAAATTGAGCCACGGTGTCCTCGATATTCACGCCACAGAGCAGCTACCCACCGTTGATCACGCTCGTCGAATCTGCATACCCATATCAGTACTTCGCCAAAAGCAGTACCTGAAGCGATGATGTAGGAGCTGGCATCAATAACAGCCACATCTCCGCTGTAGAGGAATGTGCTAAGCTCGTCGTTTAAGCAGCGGTATACCAACTTTCGAGAAGATGTGTTAGCAGTGATGTGGTAGAGCGCATTGTATGAGGTTAAGAAGGTAGCGATTCTGTCATAGTTCTCTGATCTGCCACTGAGCACCCAGTCTCTCAATCGAATCGAATCCACGATCAGTAACTGGAAGTTCGTGGTCGAGCCATGAGACACCTCAACGAAGAGCTCGATCCACACGACCTGATTTCCTCCTTGCACAAAAATGTCGCATCTGAAGCTGTTCTTCTCCTGTCCATTACATCCAAAAGTCAATATGTTTTTGATTGCTTGGCACGTTAAAGCTTTGACACTACACAGCTTTGTAGAGGTCTTGACGTCTATTGCTTCGAGAAGACAACCTGATCCAACCAACAAAATGCTACAATCTCCGTTTTCAATATGCCCAAGTGCGGTGACCGGTAGCAAAGAGGTTGCCCACTTGTCAGTCAGAGTAGCCATTGCCATTTCTTCAGAACAAGACCTACCAGTACATTGGTTGTGGAGCTGGCTCACGTTGCTGACAGAGGATTACAGATGGCATTAAACAGCTAATTCGGAGCTATCGCGAATCATGCAGTGACTAGCCTAAGCTGCAGAACACAATGGAGCAGGATCAGTGTCAGCTGGCACACACAAGCATTGACAATATTTTTATATAATGCGTTGTTCAAGTCTATGTCAAAAAGGAAACCAGCAAACATTTCTGTAGTGCCAAGACGCTATTGTACGGTTGACCAGAAAAACCTTGTAGAAGCATCCATGTGTTGCGAACAGCTGGCATCAGTTTTGGCTGAAACTGCTACTTCGAGCAACACTAGACTTGACGCGCTAGCCTCCCTACGCGTTTTCTGTCTTCTTATGAAGCCACTCTTGACATTGATTCTCGGGTGACTTTACTCTACTCATACCTACTTTCGATCATCCCGCGCTGTACGCGACTTTCGGTAATGCTGTCAGGTTTGGTAAGGAGCGTCCAGCCTTCTTTCCAAACTTAGTGGTCATCTTCACACTACCCCTTCACTACCCGCATTTCAATACAGTGACGAGCAATCATACCTGCTGTTGACAAGCACTTTTGATCGGTATCTGAAAGACGGCAAACGGAATCATCTACCAATCTGCTATTTGCCGAGCACAAAACAATCTATGGTGTGACATCGCTCTACACGAATTAGGTGAAAGCAGAAGGCATGGGGTCTCGCTGGTTGTCTCAAAACGAAGTCATTGATTTGACTTCCGACGACGATGTGATTGAGATTGGCTCAAACAAGTTACAACATTTAAAGCCCCAAACCACCCATCCTACACCTTCCTCTCATCTGTCCATAAATCAACCCATCCCAGTCCCATCACCATCTTCCAAACAAAGACATGTTACCAACGAAAAGGAAGTCATACGAACCGACAAGCCTCCATCGCAGCGAGGCACTTTCTTATGGCAGTTATCGCCTCGGAAAAGGAAAGCTACTTTAGTGGCAGACCCAGCTCTTTTCCTGCAAGACACGAGAGATAAAGCCGACTCTCCAGATCGTCCGCTCAAGCAACAAAGAGAAGAAGCGGAACATGCCCGAAGGCTCGAAATTAGGAACAAGCGGAGATGTACTGAGTGTATTGCAACTGGTCTAGAATGTGATGGAGAAAAGCCTTGCAGTCGTTGCTGTGAGCCAGGGTTCGATTGTCGGTACCCCGGGGAGAATGGC